GTATTAACCTCAATACTATACTTAGTATACTAAGGTACTATCCCCACTTAATATGATAAGATAAGGTATACTTTTAAATCCGCTATAAAAAGTTATATAGTAATACTATTGCCTGATTTATTAGATTATTTTTTGTTAATTAGTTATTAATTTTTAAAGGTTTTTTTGAAGGTGTATTAGCCATAAGTGGCTGGTAGCAAACCACGAATCGGGGGAAAAACTATGGAAAAAAAAAACTTTGAAAATAAAATAAAATAAAATAAAATAAAATAAAATAAAATAAACTAAACTAAAATAAAATAATCTAAACTAAAATAAACTAAAATAAAATAAAAACTAAAATAAAATAAAATAAAAATAATAAAATAGGTGTAAATTTACGATAATTTTTATAACTTATATTATGGCATACTATATATAACTATTACTAGGAAACTATAAAAATCTATATAACAAAAAAAAATAAGAAAATAAGAAAAAAACACAAGGGAATAAAAAACCTATAAAAATATAAGGAAATAAAAAAGAAAAAAAAAAACATAAGAAAATAGAAAAAGAAAAACATAAGAAAATAAAAAAAGAAAAATAAAAGAAATATCTAAGTCATATTAATAGCAATTCGAAGCCCGTGCTAAGTGGATTCTCGTCCCTTTTAAATATAAAAGTAAAAAATTTATTAAATAAACCATTTAAGCTAAAAAAAGTATATTTTATTTTATTTGTTTTATTTATATGTTTTATTTTTTATTTTTTACGGATTAGAAATATAAGTTATATTAACGGTTAACATATAATAATAATGAATAAAATTCGGGCTATTAAATGGTATTTTTTTCCCTATATAAACCCCTTAGATTAAAAAAAACGAAAAAGTACTTTTATTTTATTTTTTATTTTTATTCCATTTTCTTTTTCATTTTTTATAGACTATACCTATAAGCTATACTATCGGCTAACGTGCTATAATAACAAGCAAAATTCGGGCTATCTAACGGTATATTTTTTGTATAAAAAAGTGGACCTTACTTTCGGTACTATAGTAGTACTATAGTAGTACTAAGTATAGTATAGTATTGACCTCAATACTATACTAAGTATAGTATTTGGCAACCCTGGAGTTGACTCGGCGATGGCTGGTGGAGCATGAGTGTCTCGTGGCGGCAAACCAGGCATGCCAGCGGGGAGTTCTTAGCCGGGGCAACGGGCTGATGGGCAGAACGGGCTTGACGGGCAGGGGGGCTAGGCTCCTGCGGGTCAGTGATCAGTCATCTGGTCTGTGCACAAAGCACTTCCTTGACTTTCCAAGGTTCTTTACCGGGGCGCTGGCTGGATGGGCGCTGGACGCGCTGCAACTCGCAACTCGCAAGCCTGCAACCTGCAGAACTGGCAGATCCGATCAGATCTACCAGCTCCACCCACGCCACATCCCCCGTTCTTGAGGTCGTGATCCTTTGCCGCGCATACTTCATGCCATTGCCAACCGTCACGACCGCGTTACTCCCTCTTCATGTCCCTCAGAAAGTGCAGTGCATGGGCTTTGGTGGTCAGATATGGGAGTAACAGACCAGTCAGCGGAACATCCGGACACAACCCAGGCCTGCAAAGTTCAACATGCCCACCGTGATGAAGCACTCCAAGGTTTAGGTCCGGCTTTTGACTACACGCGTCCTCGACGGACTTCCGTCGGCTACACCCAAGCCGAGTACCCTACCAGCAACGCACGAGCAGACGGGTTGGGATGGCAGCTGTGCCACAAGGGTAATAAGGGGTGCCGTATTTGCACACAATGCCACCGCAATTCTACCTATGTAACCTTACTTCGTATGGTATCCTTGACAGACGACACATTCCTCGTCTACCTCAGGTCCTGCCCCAACGCTACAACGAGCTTGTGTTCGCCTACCTAGGTAGTCTTGCTCTTTTCCCAGCCTGTTCCATCCCACCCCTTCCCATCTCAACTAGGGTCGTTGTTCTTGAGCCGACAGGCACAAGTGTACGAGGCCGGAGCAGATTCTAGAGCTCTCCAGTCAATTATTAGTCAGTCAGCCAGCCACCTGGACAGCGGTAAGAGTAGGTAAGGTACCTAAGGTAAGCGATGGCATTACCTTACCTCCCTTGCCTTCATACATCCGGGAACCGACTGTCCCACCTGGGCTGATGGGCGCACGTACTTCTGCTAGGTAAGGTAGGTAGGTACCCAGGCAGGTAGGTTAGGTAGGTAGATAAAGTACCTAAGTAGGTACCTTAGGCGCGCTCTTAACTCGGACCGTTTGCTCGCTGGGTGGTGCCCGCCAGTCAGCCAGGAGGAACGTCACTATTGGATATCGGCGTTGATGCCAATGGACAGACAGGTGAAGCGCCTCCTCTTTCCGACGACTTGAGTTTGCGCGGCTTCCTCAGCAAGACAGGCAGGTGTGTTATTTGGTCGTACACGCATGCCCCCATTTCCCCGTTGTTCTGTGATCTTGCTACCTCTTATCCTTTTCTACCGCCTTACCTTTTTCTTCCTCCCCGCCTCTCCCTCCAAGCAACGCCCGAGCTCACTAATGTCCGCAAGGGCCTCACGCAACTTACCTCACGCTTCGTCTGTGCACTTCACCTATCTCCGAGCTACCTTGTTGTAGGTCGAGTCAAGCTAGCAAGACGTTGTGTCCAGGATCTGATATTGCTGCAGAGCCCGTTCCATTCCGCTGGAATTTGAAAGCGAGCCGGCCTCGCGGCTGTGCTGCGTTGTTCGTTAGCCCCCGAGCTTGTTCTCGTGGCGTTCTGGCCCAGAGTCTTCAACATTGCCTGTGTCCCTAGTCTCAGACTTCTGTACTTATTGGCTGCCCCGTCCCACATGGTTGCCATGCCTCTGTTTTTCCCCTGAGTCTCACTCCATACTCCAGACCTCCCGGTACCCGGCTCCCGGCACCGTAGCCTTCAGGTAGCCTTCGCGGCTCGCAGCCTGAGAACGGCGAGGGTACGTGAAGCGCACCCGTTTCACTCCAGCATTACAGCTCATACAAGTCAACCGGTAACTGGATGCGAAAGCGCCCTACCTCGAGTCTTCGTATCTGCATTCCACTGACCACCGCCAAACTTCATTCCCACGCGTCTGAGTGAGGTACAAGCGATTTGGTACTAGGCCACCGAGACATTACCTGACGCGAAAGTCGGCTTCCTTCGTACGATGGTAGGATTAGTTGGACGGTTTAGAAAGCCAAAGTCGCCAGTAGTTCTTGGGTCGCCTCATAAAGACGACAACATACCTCATCAGACTCCCGCCACGCCCCTGAACCCCATACTACGGAACTTCTCCTATCCAATCAGTGCTGCCCAAAACACGCAACCTTCGTCTTTTCCCATCCATTCTCGGCAGCAGCAGTCGACTTGGGACCAGCTTGGCGAAATTTGCAATTTCTCCCCCGAAAGCGTGTCACGGGCAGGCCAGCGGACCGCCGGACTTGAAGACCCTTTCTTCTACAAATCGGATCGAGGTCCATACAGTCCGTTGACTGAACAATCCAGCCGAGTAAGCAGCAAGGCTACGGTCACGCAACCTCTGCAACCCTCGTCCCCGTGTCAAGAAGATCCAAAAGCTAGAAAGAGACAACGTCGAAGTGCACTTTTGGGGTTATCGTCTTCACAGGCCCAAGACACTTCTCGCCTCTAGAAGCACGCTGAGAAGAACGGGTCCAAAGAGGGATACTTGAAGTTGGCTGGAGCGCACCCCACCAGTGACACCAGCTTCGCCTCTCCAAAATTCACCACGGGGGCCCGACTGAAACGCAGTTCACTTGGACACCAGAAGGGTGCCTCTTCTTTGGATGCCTCTCGATTCGTCAAACTTGCCACCGCTAGTCCTGAACGTCCTATATCAAGCTCGGGCGTTCCCTTTGTTGATACGCGACTGAAGCACGTTAGTTCGACCAGCAAAGTCGGCCCGTCGCCACTATCCCTCCCTCACGGGACTGTCAGGGACTTCCCCCCCGGCTCTGAGGATCAACATACGGTCCGTACGATCTCAGGCCTACAAGCCCTCGAGATGACCTCGACATGTCCCAAAGGACCCGCACATAGCTCGTTGGGACCTCGGTCTGTCGGAAGTGAAGCAAGCGGCAAGCAACGTCATGGTTCAACGCCGGACATCGCCAGCCGCAAAGGGAAATCCGGGAAAGCCCGCTGGTTTTCTCAGTTGAAAGATTGGGTGTCCGTTTCGGAACCGTCCTCCCAGGCTCTGAAACACTATAAGGAGGATACATACAGAAGGGCTGGTGTTGCCATGGACGATCCACGGGCCAACGCGAAGTTGCATCTTCCTGTCGGTACACTGCCCCCGGAAGCGATCAAACCTGCAGGCCCTGGGCCCGATCCAGAAGAGATCGCTATCAGGAAGGCCGAGCAGCGGAGAAAGGTGCGCGAATCTTTCGGAGGATCGACCTCGGTATCCCGGGGATCTCGATCGAGCGCTAGCCATTATTCGTCCTCAAGCAGTGTGGCACTTGGCGGTTCGTGAGATGATGAGGATGTTTATTTTGCGGACTACGAAACTTATACCCTTTACCAATGTGGCCTCGTCGCCTTGAACAGGGCCTACCAGGGGATATCCATTGGTGGGCCCGCGATTATCTCGTCGCCCGAGCGGTGGTGCGGCAAACTCCCTACAACAATGATTTGGCCAATATCCCCTTGCCGCCATGTAATGGCTCAGTGGGCGGAAGAGCCAACAACAAGAAGGATGATCATTTTGGAGGAATCGGCATGGTATTATGAGATCGAATGTTATTAGCCGCGGCAGTGGTCACCCGTGTGGTCAAGAGCAGTACCACCCTCATTTTCCTTCAAGGACCCGATGTATTCGCTAGTTGTCTGTATGGATGGTCTCGCTTTGGACTGTACTTGTACCATTTAAAAGATGTCAATGGAATGTGCTGACCAACCAGCTAGTGCACCGCACTGCCGGAGTGGAGACGGTGCTAGTCATATTTCATAGTATTAAATAAGCGCCGAAATTACCACTCCCAATAGCTCAGTTGGTTTAGAGCGTTCGGCTGTAACTGTTAAAGACATGATTGTCACCGAAAGGTCACCTGTTCGACTCAGGTTTGGGAGATCATCTTCACAATCAACAGCTGGTTGATTCAATTTTTTTCCTATCTGGACCACTACAGCTATTTAAGCAGACAGCGCACCATCTTGTTGATGGATAGTTGTTGTCGATTACAGTCTACTGGTGCGGAATCTGAAGTTCCCGGCCACCTCCAGTATATCGGTCGGCACACCGAATACAGACCTGCTATTACGAGCTGCCTTTTTCCTTTTTTTCCCTTTTTTCCTTGCATAGTACCACGGTGGTTCGCATGGTTTTCTTTTGGCTTGGTCATCTTGGCCGAGGCTGCCTGAAGCCTACTCAAGAGTTCAGCTTATAAATTTGCACATCTCCTAGAAGTCTCCTTGGGGGCGAGAAGGGAAAGGCGCTGAAAGCCGACGTAAAACTCGAATGCTGGGCAGAGGCTAGGACAGGCGAGCGCCAGGTGCGAATCTGATGTCCGCTCGGCGAAAAGTCAAAAAAAATTTCCGACTCCGCACTGTTGTTAGGTCGACCTCCAGCCTGACCCGGTTCAAGCCATCGAGGCGGGGGCCTGAAAAACTGTCTGTCCTATTCCCGTCCTGCTGTCCTGAGGAATGGAATTAGGCATTATTCTTTCTCGGTCATTTGTCACAGATGATGATCCATGTTAAGAAAAATCCGTTCTCATCGCTTATTGGTCACAACTCTCAATAGCTCAGTTGGTTCAGAGCGTTCGGCTGTAATTGTTACTGACACCGAAAGGTCACTTGTTCGACTCAGGTTTGAGAGAGGATTCTTTCTTTTTGTCGATTGCCTCTCTTTTTTGGCGATTCACTCGAGTCTATACCGTAGTGGTAAGGTAGTGCTAATCGTTGGGATTTCGGTTTCACTGCTGTTCCGCCGCCATGATTGCTAGCCCCGAAGGGATCATTTGCGACTCGGTTCCATCTCTGCAGGTCTAGGTACCTGGGGATTCGAACGGGAATTGTACATTCTAGTCTTGCAACTTTAGTTTTCTTCTGCATAATCCCGGTGGAACAGGTCACCTTCTGTCTGTTGAGGGGAGAGGACAGGAAAACAGTGGCTTTAGCCTCCTATCAAGAACGACGACGTAGAGAGAGGGGTGAGCGCTCCGGGCTGCGTCGTGTAGCAGCCAGAACACAATAGTGACCGTAGCATAGGTTACCGTACCTGACCTAGCTATGGCACGGAGAGCTTGACCTATTCATATGTTCTCCAGCTAACGGCATCTGATTCTACATCCTGACTTTGGCTTGTCTCCGGGGTCGAGGGTCCTGCGGATGTGCCCCGAAACCCCCGATTTGCAGAACACAGCTGTCGCGCTGTCATCAAGGTCACCCTGGCCAAGGTCTGGCCGTTGCCATGTGGCCCCCCCCAGGCGGCGATAAGCAGGACCGAAACCCCAAATCCCCGGTAAAGAACCAGTTTATAGCCTTGGAGGTGTCAAGTGATACGCGGGATCGACAGACCTGGACCAGATCTGAGTTGCCGTTCCCCGCAAGGTTGAACGATGGACAACTGTAACGCGGCGCCCTGATGCTTTCTTTGGACTGGTCAACAGCAAGGCGCGAGACAGTCACCCTATCATGTCTTCACCACCACCACATCGTGGGAGTCGAGTCTCCAGCAAGCTTTCAGGTTTAGGTTCACCATTTTGCACCTTTGTTCCCGGCTGCGGCGCGAGCTTCGAGGTAGTGAAGCGCGGGGCGCCAGTCATGACGTCAGCAGGGCCCCTGTGGAGCTCGAGACGTCTCGCTGCCAATCGAGCAACGGTTTCGCGACAACGGAGCAAACTCTCCTGCGGCGGCCATGGCAGTTCGGCTGCCATGAGCTCTTTCTTATGAACACCTCCCGCCGTCTCCTGTGCCCCCTCCGAGCGCCAGGGTCTGAGTCGTATGGCATTCTACCCAGCTAATAACTACAATCACCGTCGACTCCCCGAGCCTCCGAGTCGTGTATAGCATTAGATTCGAACGGCGCTTAGCCTGCCTACTTTTACCTACCGTATACCAAGTGCCACACAGCGGCGCTGCATCGAATCCTCCGAGATGAATAAGCTCTGGGGAGGTTCCCGCGTGAACGGAGATCGCGGTAGCCCAGAGAGGCACTCTCAGGAGGACTACCGAGAGACGCCTCCGAATGAGCACACTCGCTTGCTGCCGAACCGGGTTGAGAGCAGCTACCCGTATTACCTCAGCCCGGATGATCCAGCTGTACATGCTCTCGCGCCATAGCTATGCATTAGATATCTCTGGTCACTAACCGTGTCCAGGTCTCGCCGTACAACCTCTGGAGCGTCTGGGCTACGCGTTACCTCACCATCCTCTTCACCCTGCTCACCTTCGTGTGGTGGGTGATCCTGCTTGTGTCCGCCTTCATCACCCCGCCGGGCTTCCATACGCGTGGCTCCGGCTTCTTCCCCTTCAGTTATACGAGCCTGGCGCTCGCCAACTTGCTGTTCACCCTAGTCTTCTTTGCCATCCCGTCGAAGCCCGTGAGGATCCTGAGCCTGGTGATGGGCTTCCTGCTCCTAATCGACACGGTCCTGTTGATATCCGTGGAGAAGACAAGGCATGAGGAAGGATGGGTTGGTATGGTTAGTGTCGTGTGGGCATTCTTGACCGCCGCGTGGACGCTTGGGACCGACCGTCTGGTGGAATGGGGTAAGGAAGAAGAGGAAGAGCGGCTAACAGGTCGAGCCGAGTCTCGACGATCCCTCGGTGAATGGGCGGCCGTCCTCATATCAACAATTACCATGGCTGTGTTCGCTATAGTTGCGTTTCTGACCACCTGCACGCTGATCCTGCGTGCCCTCGATGCCGGCTTAGCACCACCCGGCAAACTGTACTGGGTCGACGGAGGCAAGTACATGCTCCACGTCTATTGCCATGGGAACGAGACCAACGCCAACGGCACCAAGCTGCCTACTGTCTTGCTTGAGGCGGGCGACGGGCCCGTGGAGGACGGTCTGTGGCAATTTGCGGACAACGCCATCAAGAACGGGTCCATCAGCCGGTACTGTTTCGTCGACAGACCGGGCTTTGCATGGGTAAGTGCTTCCAAAATCGAAAGCAGATCAGACATCTCACATCTGATACACCGCAGAGTGACACGGCTCCGTCACCTCTGTCAGCAGGGATGGCCGTCGAGGCTATCTCAGAGGCATTGGCTCACGCTGGTGAAGACGGTCCATGGGGTAGGTAAACAGGGATCTGTCCTGAACTTCCGCACGCTGACGCTGAAGCAGTGCTCATGAGTGCCGGTATCGGTTCGATTTACTCCCGAATTTTCTCCGCACGAAACGGAAAGGACATCAAGGGCCTTCTGCTTGTCGACCCCCTTCATGAGGCCTACCTGAACGATGTTGGCGCACCAGGACGGGGTTTCACCCTTTGGCTCCGAGGCATCATCTCTCCACTTGGACTGGATCGCGTGCCTGGTGCGCTGTTCAAAGGCCGGAACAAGCAAGACCGTGTATGGGGCCGATCGGCCCATCAGACGGGAAAGTACATCTTTGCTAAACTGCAAGAGAACCTGGTTGCCGACACGTTGTCTAAGCGTGACGTGGCCAGCAGCCGAGCGATCCAGTACCACGATGTCCCACTCACCCTGATCAGCTCGGGCGTTGAGCTTCGAAAGAGCGAGAAGTGGGAGAAGAAACAACATGATCTGAGCCACCTGAGCAACAAACTGCAACACTGGGATATTGTCAAGGATGCGCCACACCAGGTGTGGAGTACCCAGGAGGGGCGGGATATCATGGAGAAAAGGCTTCGACAGCTGGTAGAGAAGGCTTGACGTTTCTGCTTTACAAAGTTACCTACCTCTGCATCTGCACCGACGGCGTTTGGCAAGTACTGGTAATGGTAATGGTAAGCCTGAGAAATTGACATCTGCAAAGATTGGCTGAGACCTACTTGAGAGCAAGCTGTATTGTATTCAACTTCCACTACCATCGTGATCAGCATGTTGAGCACTTCTTGGATGTTGAGTCGGAAGCTGGTGTATTTATGGTAGCGGGGTGTACCCTTAGGCGTAGGGTGTATGTAAGGTATTCGTAGCTCAATGTGGTTTAGTGCCACTTAACGCGCCTTGACGCGTCGAGCTACCTTAAGATATCCAAGGCACCTAGACCTTTACCGTGCAGGTTCCCGTACGCTTTTCACAGCTCCGGGCAATCCACTCCCGACCACTTACCTTAGGCAACCATCGATCGTATTGTTCTCAGCCATGGCCAGCTTCTTCGACATCAAGGCCCGCAAGGCGGCGGCGGCAAATGGCACCTCGGCGACCAAGCCGGAAGAGTCCAAACAGAATGCCAGAAGACAGCCCTGGGTAGAGAAATAGTATGTCTATGCCCTTTATCTATACTCCGATGCCGCGACCTATTGGTTCGCAATCTGACCCGAGCGAACAGTCGACCGAAGACACTGAGCGACGTCACCGCTCAGGATCACACCGTCCATGTCCTCCAGCGAACCCTACAAGCTTCGAATGTGCGTCCGCCACCACCCGAAACACGCTGACCACTCCTCCTCCTCCCGCTCCCGGCACCTACTCACACCGATACAGCTACCGCACATGCTCTTCTACGGACCGCCCGGCACCGGAAAGACGTCGACCATCCTCGCGCTCGCGAAAGAGCTGTACGGCCCGGAGATGATGAAGTCGCGGGTGCTGGAGCTGAACGCCTCGGACGAGCGCGGGATCTCGATCGTGCGGGAGAAGGTGAAGGACTTCGCGCGCATGCAGCTGACGAACCCGCCGCCGGGCTACAGGACGCGCTACCCCTGCCCGCCCTTCAAGATCATCGTGCTCGACGAGGCCGACAGCATGACCCAGGACGCCCAGAGCGCGCTGCGCCGCACCATGGAGACGTACAGCAAGATCACCCGCTTCTGCCTGATCTGCAACTACGTCACCCGCATCATCGACCCCCTCGCCTCCCGCTGCTCCAAGTTCCGCTTCAAGAGCCTCGACCAGGGCAACGCCCGCAAGCGGCTCGAGGATATTGCCGAGAAGGAGGGCGTGGGCCTCGAGGACGGCGCCGTCGACGCGCTCATCAAGTGCGCCGAGGGAGATCTACGGAAGGCTATCACGTTCTTGCAGAGCGCCGCCAGGCTGGTGGGCGCGGTCGAGAAGGACGGCCCGGACGAGAAGGACGGTGACGAGATGGATGTGGACGACGAGGATGATGAGAAGGTTAGGACGGTATCCGTGAAGATCATCGAGGACATCGCCGGTGTCATCCCCGAGACCACGATCGAGCGCCTGCAGAAGGCCATGCAGCCCAAGTCAGCAGGTGCTACGTACCAGGCGATCGCGAAGGTCGTCGAGGAGATGGTAGCGGACGGTTGGAGTGCAGGCCAGGTCGTTACGCAGGTAAGTTGCATCTATCCTCGTGTTTGGACCCGTGGCTGACAGATGAACAGCTGTACCAAGCGGTGATACAGGACGAGATGATCCCCGACCTGGGCAAGAACAAGATCACGCTCCTGTTCTCAGAGGTAGATAAGCGTCTGGTGGATGGCGCCGACGAGCACCTCTCGATCCTCGACTTGGCATTAAGGATATCCAACGTCTTGGCTGGCAAGGGGTAAAGGACTGCGTTCTAAGAAGACAGAACACACTCAAGAGATACCAAGGCATGAAAGGCATGGTGCGGCGTCATCACGGATACAGGCGTTGGATGGGCAGATTCTTGCTATGGGAAACCTACGTAAACTGCATACGGTGCTTAAGGTATACTCCGGCATCTTGAGTGACCGG